AACTTGAAACATGTTTTCCTTGTATGATTTAGCTTTATTTTAAAAAATAAAAATATATTAGATAAACTAAATTTCATAAGTTCATTTGTGAATTTTTAATCTTCTTCATCGCAACCTTTAATTTCAGTGGTGCTACACAAGGGGCTATCCGTGCTGTGCCCTCCACGGGTATCAAAACCCGGTGGTTATGATTGTAACACCACAGTTTTATTGCTGAGCCACTGGGGGCATCAGTTGTAAGTTAAGAACTTTACATCAAATCTTATGAACTTCATTAAGTTGATAATTTTAACATAACTAATAAGCTTGTTAGGTTTTATAATGGTAATACTGCAGGGAATTTATACAATAAAACTGTTGCCCAGTGCGTATCAGACTTTATTATTGTACTTAAAATAAAACCTTAATCAAGTAATAATATTCCACTTTTACTTTCAGTCTAACATACTAATATAGTATTTAAGTTATTAATTATTAAATCTGAATAGTTCGAGAATCTCTGGCTATTATTAATGAGAATTAAACTTAAGGTTTGGTTCCATTAATCTTCTCCGAATTTAATAGGTATGTAATCTGCCTAGTCCTACTATTTTTTTTAAGTATGTCTGCTTCTAAAGAGTGGTTTAGCTGCTGAGGGAGGGGGGGGAGATCGTTTAGATAATCGGTGCTCTATAACTAAAAACGTGTGTGAATATTATTTAGTATTGAACGCACTATTTATACAAAATATAATAAAATATTAACGTTATTGTTGCAAATTTGTAGACACCGACGTAAATTACACTCACTTATGATTACTTTAGTATTGATAATTACAACAACTTAAAATAGTGAAAATGTAGATGGTGTTTTTATTTGTTATAAAATATGCTTCGCACTTGTAAATGTAAGTTATATTTAATATAAACTGTTTTTATTGGTAATGCAAACCGTATCCGTGTAACTAAACGGAGCCTAAATGAAAGATTGTTGAAGTACGAGTCAATCATAATTTTTTTTTTTTTTGAAGAGCATACGAAGTTATTTTCATATTAGGACGTCCACTGGGAATTCAAAGTTTTGTTAGACATGTACATTTCAAATCACCCAGTGTTTTAAACAAATAAAATATTTCTGACGATTCGTAAGTCCGTATCTACAATTCTGAAGATTTGAAATAAACACCAGAAAAATTTAAAAAGTTCCTTAAACGTATTCAAATTGATCATTATAAAGTGTGTGTCAAACTCATTGTGACTAATGTCATTAGTCTCTTGAAATTACATTATACGTCTGATAAACAGTACAAATTAATCCAACGAACAGTTCAGTTACACACAGTTTCGTAGTCAAACAATGTGAAAAACACAGTAAAAAACTAAATACTTGAAGGTAAAAGTTAGTGAAAGGATAAAAAACGCGATTAATAACCAAAGTTCGCCCGATGACACCAAGTATCTCCTATGAGGCGATGTTTTGATGTTTTCGTCTTTGTTTATGAATATTTTCTGTTACTAAAAAATAAGTTCTGATAATAAAATGGCAACTGTCAAGCGATAGATTACGTTAAAAAAATGTAGCGCAGAGTATGCGTCTGAATAATACAGTTTAAACGTAATTAGTGCTTGATAAGTGTTTAAATGGTCCTAGTTTTGTTGTTGTTGTTTTGTGGTATTGTCCAGAGTTTTACACTTTCAGCATCTTAAGTGGACAAGACAAACTGCCAGTGTTAATATCTAATTAGTTTTTAGTATATTGGGAAGAAGCTCGCTTGGAACCAAACTGATAATGGCTTCAATCAAACTATTACTCAGTTCAATTGTATCCTTGATGTGTTTCGTTGGTTTGGTTTTAATTTTGAGCGTGTTTCATTGCTTTATTGTTATTTCGAAGTCTGTTTCGCTGTTTTGGTTTTATTTTTAGTGTATTTTTCTGTTAAAAATAGGATGGCATCTTTCGCTTTAGAAGTGAGTATAGTGACAACAAATTATTATAACAATCATGCCAAATTATCCATTAGTTTTGTTACATTGCTGTAATTGTTTTGATAATTTGGGGCAAAAACTTTTCAATATATTTAATTATTTTGCTATAGAAACTTACTGCATCGTTACATTATTTATGTTGTACCAGTAAATAAATAATACAACCAATTCTCAATGTTAACACTTTCTTAATTTTGGTATCTGGTCTGGACGTGAACTCGTGGTTAGCTTACCGGGCTGCGGGTCGAAAGGCCCAAAAAGGTTTGAGTTCACGATATGCCGATGGACAAATTCTGCACTTTCAGCTTTATAAATAGACAATTAATCCAAGTATTCCGATAAAAGTTGCTGTGTAGGCGGTGGTTGCTACTGACTGGTTAACTCCCATCAGATCAGCAGTTCTAAACTAGGACCGGATGTGTCTGAAAATTGGGGTCTCTGATCTGATCCTTTCACCCACGATGAAAACACCACATACAGTATTCAACAACGTGTCTCCTTAAACGTTTTATTTTAGCATGTTATTATTTTTTATTTTCTTTTAGTATAAAACTATGCTATGTGATTAGGGTCACTTGAATCTTCGTTTAAGACAAAGTGTCAGCTTCACACAAAATACTTTAAAACCGAGTTATTAGGAAACGCAGATTTTGAAAGCCAAAACACTTAAGAGTAGGAACCCTAGCTCATGGTTTATAAACACGTCTAATAAATTT